TTTCTTCTCTTCTTCGTTTCAGATCACTTTACTCCAAGAAAGTTAAAATGCTATACCATAAGCCTGATGCAAACCACACAGCATCACTGTAGTATAGAAAATAGTCATGGAATGTTGCCACAGCAATGACCTTAAGGTCCAAGTTAGGATATAATGTGAAAGAAACTGCTCTAACAAGATCTCCTCAGAAACCAGCAAGCTTGGTAGTTCTACCCTCTGACGAATGAAGTTGTCTGGACCACGACTTTGACTTCTGACTGTCCTGAGTTCCAATCCTATCTCTGCCCTTCCCGATTAGTGTGACTTTGGCAAGTCGTTTAATATCTCTGAGCCTCAATTTTTTCATCTATAAAGTGGAGATAATAGAACACACACTTCTGTTTAAAAAAAAAAAAAAAAAGAGTACTTACTACCAGGTGTTGTACATTATTCTCTTGTATCATTCTCACAGCAGCTAGCTTCTATTATTACCCTATTATATAGATGTGAAAATAGAGGTTCAGAGAGGGACTAAGTCACTTGTGTGAAGTCACACAGTTGGCAAGGCAGCCAGGACAGGCACCTAGGAAGTCTGACTCCAGAGCCCTGCTTTTAACCCAGATGCTAAACTGCCTGATAAAGCTCACTAGAGAATTAAGAGAAATGATGCTTTAAATAGTGTTTGCATATTTTGAGCATTTAGTAAAGGGTAATTACTAAATGTGAACTGGGTAGAAGCAAATCCCAAATTATAACAAATTCAAGATTAAAGTGTATTATGTTGTACTTTTATCATATGGGGCCAAGTCTCAAGTTCTGGATCCTCACTTCCAGATGATCTGTAAATAGAAATCAAGTTCCCACAGGAGGATAAAGGGTGTCAGAAATCATTTACGTGGGAGCTCCTTTTGGTAGCGTGGGAAATGAGGAGAGTAGGAAAGCAAGGAATCACTGGAGAAAGTCCCAGCCATGTCAAGGCCCACAGGTTGCTTCTCTGCCCAACAGTGACTGCTTGGGGGTCCAGCCTTGTGACTTCCAAGCGGAGAAAATGGAGGTTGGAGCTGAGCAGATTTGTCCAGACATATACAACCACTCAGAACCCAGTGTCCTGACTCCCAGTGTGTCAAACTGGGAAGGAATAGGAAGCTAAGCAAGGCACACCCCAATGAGGTATAGATTTTACATGAAGCTATGTAATGCTAGCATCATTTTTTCTTTTCTCCATGATGCCCCACCCCATCCATGTGAGGACTGCAGCCCTTTCTCCTTTATTCTCCATTCTGCCTTTGTTAAGATTGTAAATGGCACAGTGTAGGCAGGCAAACGACATTAATTGAATGAGTTATATGAAAAAATGGTACTGAGATAAACATAAATATACTAGGAAATAGAATGGAAAATTGACCTGAATTTTCACAATGGGACACGGGATTTCAAAGGAACTTTCCATTTAATAAAAGGGCTTTCAATTCTGTCTCCAAAAATTAAAGTTTAGAGTTCCAAGTTCACACTTTTTAGCTACTTGGATAGAAAAATTTCAGAAGCCTGGAGCACACTATTCATGTGTGTTCTTATTATTTCTTTATTTTATGCTCATCATCCTCCCTCTATAATTATCTGCCAAAACTGAAGAGAAAACACGGCCAGCGCTGGGGAAAATACCTTGCATGTCTCAGGTATTTTTGAGGTTCATCTATGTCGTAGCATGTGTTAGAATTTCATTCCTTTTTAAGGCTTAATAATATTTCATTGTATGTCTATACCACATTGTGTTTATCCATCAATCTATTGGTGGACATTTGGGCTGTTTCCACCTTTTGGCTATTGTGACTAATGATGCAAATGGGTACACAAATATGTTTGTTTCCCTGCTTTCAATTCTTCTAGGTATATACCCAGAAGTGAAATTGCTGAATCATATGGTAATTCTATGTTTAATTTTTTTGAGAAACTGACCTTGGTATTTTTTGTCATTGTTGTTATGTTTCCAGAGCCAGTCCTTATCATCTGTTTGAACAGTTTATTTTGCCTCTCCAATGTACCATCCTACATTTATGCTAAACCACCTCTTTTGCTTGTTTCCTTTCATTTACCAAGGTTATTTAGAATTATGATCTTACGTTCCATTGTACTTATTTTTCCCAGACTTTGGATCTGACATCTTGGAATTTCCATTTTCCAAGTCATGAAGTACATTAGTTGAAAGGGTAAGAAAATAATTTCTTTTGGGTGGGGGTGAGGGGTGGGGGGAAGCAGTCTTTCAAATCAGTACCAAGACACCAGTCTGGTATGAATCATATAGACACACTAAGAAAAGAGAGTTCCTAATTTACAAATCTCTCACTATTTTGTGCTGGACTCAACCTGTGAATAAACAATGTTGTGATTGGACCACCTCTTGTGGTTTTTATTATGAATGCAAGACACCCTTCGGCAATAAACACCAGGAAACTTTGAAAAAAAATAAAGGTTTATTACTCACAGAACCTGGAAATTATACCTCAGACCACACAGTAAGGTCTCGGGTAGAGAGAGAGCATGTGCACAGGCCTACAGTTTTGCTTTTATTAGGGTCAAGTATGGGAGCCTAGGGTTTCTGGGATCACTCTTTATAAGAACATAACTTAGAACATGGCAGGGGGTGGGGGACAGAAGAAGCGGTCCAAATGGTCAGCTATTGAAATCAACCAAGATCTCTAAAACAAAGGAGCCTCAGTGAGGGCAGGCAGCCTTGCTCCTTCATATGTTTATTCCTGATAGCTGTCTTTGGAGTGGACACCTATTTGAAGTGGATGTCTCAGCCATCAAAGCTCAAGTCAGGCACTAGCATTACAAAAAAGAAAAAAACAAAGTCAAGGCTTACACTATACTCACCGGGAGCATACCTGACATGCAAACAGTAGTGAAAATCAGGAGTCTAACTCCTCCTGCAGTACCTGAAGGTCTCCACCTGTCACCAGTGGGATGACAAGATCTTGGACATCTAATTATTAATGGGGATGCTAGAACCCACCTGTTCTCTACTTCCCTCTTTCTTCTTCCTTCTTGACCCTTGCTTGGGGTTTCATCCTTGTGAACTATGGGTTTGCTCCACTGTGGTTACCTGACATCATAATGAGAGCTCCTGTTCTAAGTGGAGGACTGAATTCCTTCAGAAGCACAAGAGTTCCAGTTGGAACACTGCATGATTTTGTGCATAGAAGCAATGCTCACATCTAGTCCATTCCATGTTCTAGCTTCCTCAAAATCAACCCTGCCTCCCAGCCTCCTTTGCCTGAGTCAGAACCTCACCTAGATCAAGGTGAGCAGCAGAGGGGAGGGTAGTTAAAGGGAATATGTAAACTGCAAGACCAAAATCATTCCATCTCCCTTTAGTCATCGTTAGTCCACACTGCTGCGGTACCCATTTTCTTTTCTCTCTCTTCTCCCTTTTTGAGAATGGTGTTGAAAGTGAAGTGGTCAAGACACTTCTTGCTCAAAACATTCTGAATCTTTCTTCCTTACACTTCCTAGCCACCATCTTCACCATTCGAAAGCGGGGGATTCTTCAAATCCTCTGCACATCTAAATCTCAGAATGTAGTTGTGAGACTGCACTTGATTTCTTGATTCTTGCTTCATAATCATGATCTATCACCCTCACCACCCCTCCTTATAATTTCCCCCACTAAAACACCACCCCATCACCACCAACAACAGAATCAGTTACATACATTTTTGTATGCAGCCTTAAATTCCTTTTAAGATAAGGCAAAGGTAAATGTTAATCAAGTTAGAATTCAGGTGATCATTTGTCCCAATTTGCTTTGGACAGTCCCAGTTTATGCCTATAGCTCTGCATAACTTTTAAAAGAGCTTCCCTTTTCACTCTTAAAAAACGGTTCTAGTTTGGAGGATAAATGTGTTCACCCTAGTTAAAAATACACCTTCATTTTCCAGTAACTGCTTTCCAGGTGAACTTCCTTTTGCCCGTATCGCGGCACTTAACTTCCATATAAACTCTGAAAAGTAGGAAAAGAAACATTTATCTCTATTAATTAAATGAAGGAGCCAAGGCTTCAAGTAGTACAGCAATGACTATCCAAGGTTGCACACTCAGGGACAGAATCGGGGCCAGAACCCAGGATTTTTAACTTCAAGTTCAATATTGTTCAGCTGTGGATCACTTTTTGCAAATATCTAAGGAAAGGCTAACCTCACTCTCTTGTTTGGTAATCTGCTTGTGCTTTGACCTTGAACGATTTAGACAAGTTCATCTTTGCCCAGACACTGTCCTTTCACATTCAAAGAAAGCAAATAACCGAAAAAGAATTACGTAAACGTAAAGAGGCTATTAGTGAATCCTGGGGCCGAATGACATTTATCTTTGATTTTACCGGTGTAATTACATCAGATTATTGGAATCTTACATCTAACCAAATTAGGATGTTTCAATTAAAACAAGGAAGGAAAGAAGACCGATAATGAATGCCTATTGTTACAAAGAACATATAAATGGGTTCCACTCCAGTCTTATAGGCATATTTCCCTATGTTTATGTGCTCTTTTTTTTTTAACCTAAAAATAAAATAAAATTATACCCTCCTTGGATAAATGGCAATGAGACAACGGAGGAAAAACTCTTGATTCTTCAAAGATAGGCAGAGTGCTTGGCAAGGTCTCCAAGGTATCCCAGAAGTGCTGAATACGGTGTCACATCAATAAATAAAAGTATACCCGCCTAACCTTCTGAAGGTCTGTCTCAAGAGAATGCCACAAGACCTCTCTCTGCAATGACAGAAAGAGGTCCAGTATGCCTTGGGGAAGATGACTCCGAACCGCTGGTCAGTCTAGCCAGACCGCAGCAAAGGGGTGGATGCCTTCGAGCCACCTGTGGCCACCGCAGCCTGACCAGAGAGGCGTCCCGCCTCGGGCTGCGCGGAGGCTCGGGGAGCTGAAGGTAAGAGGGCAACGGAGGACGAGCCCCATCCCTGGGAGGGGAGGTGGGGGCCAAGAGGACCGTGCGCGCATGCGCGCCGCCTTCGCCGCCGGCGGCCGGAAGAGCCTGGCACCAGAGCCGCCGCTGCGGGCGCCAGACGCCGCGACGGCCGCGGGGAAATCGCCGGCTGCGCGATGTGGCCCTTGGAGAGCCCCGGGGCCGCGGAGCTTCAGGAGACCGGGCTGCCGCTAACAGACGACACGCCCCCGGGCGCGAGCGAGGAGCCGGCCGCCGCGGAGGCAGCGGAAACTCTCGACTCCGGGTGGTGCTGGCCGTGCCGCTCCTCGCCGTGCGGCTCCCGCGTGCAGCCGGGTGAGTGCGGGATGCGGACCCAGGCGCGGGTTTCGCCCTTGGGGGGAAGGTGGGCGGGTGCCAGCGCCGGGATCCCCGCAGCCGCGGGCCGGGGGAGCATTGAGGACCGCGCCCTCCATCCGCACTCTGCCCATGCTTAAAAAATCACTGGAGCTGTCACCCGGGGGGGCAGTAAAACAGAAGTCTCCTGTACCCGCGCCGGCACAAAGTCCAGAGAAAGTTTCTGATTGTGTTTAGAACCTTTTTGGGATTCTTAAACTGTTTCTATAATTAAAGTGTTGCGGGCAAGACTGTGGAGTCAGATTGCAGTTCGGTTCGCCCAGCTTGAGGTTAGAGGTTGAAGGGGTCACGGAGAAAGGCCATCTCTCTGCCGATCGTGGTTGGGAGGAAGCTAACCATGAAAACCGATATCGGTGGTAAACGTGTTCCCCGAAGAGGAAGTTTAAAAACATGGAGTCTAAAAAAAATGTTTGTCTCAAATGTTAGAATCTTGGGAAGGCAGAGTTGAGTGTGGGACCACTGGTTCTTGAACTTTTTTGAGTTCGAAGGACTTTTTAGCAACTGATGCAAAAGAAGGCAGAGACACAATCTTACATCCATGGTTAAGAGGTTCAAGGACCCTGTGTGGAAAACTCTTGAGTTTGTTCAGCCCTTTCTTTTGACAAATGAGGAAAGTGAGGCCCAGGAAGGTGAGGGCTTTGGGGGTTTTTTGTTTTGTTTTTCCGAAGATCTGCGGTGTGGGTCGGTGAGATAGGGCACAGGTCCCGGCAGCACCAGCTTTTCAGAAACCCAGCCCAGGACCCTTTCTACTAGCTATAAGCACAGTTCTCTTTGAACTTGAAGCAGCTTCTGGAAGAAGAGAGAAATAGGCAAATGTCCTTTCAAGACAAAATTACAGTCTGCACAGCCTCATCCTCTGGGTCGCCTACCTTAAGAATGATGGGATTTCTATGTCTCTAACCCCACCTCACCTTCTTTCCTCCCTGTATGCACTTTCCCCAGGAACATCATTCTTGCTCCATTTTTATCTAAATGCTAACGGAACAGTCAGACTTCTAATCATTTATGCATGGGCCAGAGCCTCTAGAGCAGGAGTTACCCCAAGCTGAATTGACCAGATGTGACCAGCCTTTGAAAAAAAAGTCAGTTTCTCACCTTATTACCCTATAGTGGAATGTCATTCTGGTGAAATGTTGAGTCAGTCATTGCAAACTCTTAAAAGTTCCCCATTTGTGAGTTGAAGAGGAATACTGTTCATTCAGGCAGCACGTGGCAAAATGACAAACCCATATAAGGGATTGCACATAAGAATCTTGTGGGGTCCTTTAGCTTCTAAGATTGAAGTTGCCAACAGTAAGACTTAATAATAGTTTTTATAAAGTGACCAGATAATATTCTGAAAACAGGATTGCCATAGAAACCCTTTAAACCATACTGTTGTCATTGAACTTTGTGATAGTATCATTTTAACCTCTTGATCCAACTGGCTAGCTCAACAAAGCTCATTTTCAAGTTCAGGTTGAAATGTACTCATTTTTCTTACATTTTTGGATAACCTTCACAGACAACATACAGCTATCCTAAGACATCTATTTGTTTTCTTGAGGCACAGTGTGGATCTCAGACTGAAGCAAGGAGAGGTTGTCTTAGGTCTATGCCTCACATTCCGCTGGAAGGAGTGAGTTTTATAGCATTGGTTCTCACACCAATGGAGCTTTTTTGTGGTTACAGAGATCCTGTTTCAGTGGGTCTGGGGTAGGGCTTGAGAACTGAAGTTTAAAAAGTGACTAGTTTATTCTAATCCCCAGCCAGAATGGTGAACCACCACCAGTTTAAAGCAGAAGTTAGATAAACTGAGCAACTTTTCTGTTTTCTTTTCAGGAAATTGTACTGATTGCTTACTAAATTTGAATTATTTATAGTACCAAATGACTAGATATGCTTGTAGTGGGATATGAACACGGAAGCACATTACGTAAGCATTATGTTACTCTTGCTCATCTCCATTGATAGAATTGAAATTACTATTCAGTAAAAGACTGGAGTTTGCCTGTGTAGAGCTAGTTCTCACCCTCATTAACAAATAATCATGTTCAGCTAGGCCTGGTAACAACTGTCCTGTCCCAGTCAGGAAGCATGGGCTTTAAGTGTTTATAGACAAGAAACTATTGAGTGTATGTGTTTTAAGAAAAAGATCATCAGAGCCAGGAGTGTGAAATTAAGTTTTCAAAGAGTTAAATATCATGTTAAGTTCAAATATTCCTGGAGAAAATTAAGAAGTTTAGGTTGGAGAAGATCCTCAAATAATAGACCAGGGAGATGTTTTCTGTCCTTGATCTTCCTGTTCTGTCTGAGGGTGTAGGTTCTATGTATGAGTTGGGTTTCTTTTAAGAAAAACTATTTTATTTGGACCTGAATTCTGAAATTTCAGAAGCTGAATTCTAAAGCTGACCACAGCCAAGATGTGTGTTCAGTGGTGCTTAACTTTGAAGTCTTCTAAAGCTTCTTTCTCATGGGCTGAATGGGTATGTGTAGTTTGTTTCTGCAATATCTGACCACATAATTACAGAATAGAACATGGAGGAATCTGGCGCTTATAATTTATAACCTGTAATATAACAACTGCTAGATCCAAATCATTCTCTCCAGCTGTGTACCTAGAACAGGAAGAGATGGAAGTCTCTGACCAGAATGGTATTTTTTTACTACAAAGGTCAGGCTGCAGAATGCCACTGGAAAGACTGTGCATCATCATACTTTGGTCCCAATTTGCAGTGTCGCTTGTGGGCATAGGTATTTAGCTAATATCAGGATGTTGAAATATATTACCTGGTGTTTGCATTTATAAGGGCAGGATATTTAAAAACACATGATTATGCAGTACTGTTTTACAGTAGAAGAACACATTGTAAATTCCTAGATGGAAATAATTCTGGTTTTACTACAAATTGCATGTGCCCACACATCCTTCAGCTCTGCTGTGTTCTTAGCTGATGAGGGCCAGTAGTGTTTCCTTCTTATGCTCTCCTTTTTTGTGTTAGTTAAAAAAGAAAAGAGTATATTCCTCAGCGTGTGGCCTTTTAGGGAGTTCTCTGCTAATCCTGCTCCATTTTGCCCTTCTTTGTATGCCAGGAGGTGAGATTGAAAGCAGGTTCTATTCTTGTTTTAGGCAACTAAGACAGAGGAAGTGGCTAAACAAAAGTTTAACGCTCATACGGACTGTCATTAATAGGTTGAATACTTGACGGCCTGGAGAAAGCAGAAGTTTCCTGATTCAGATCAAGCCAGGAGTTTGATATTAGATGGAAATTCTATTTTAAAAATATTTTTAAAAAGCACTTTAGGGTCAGCATGATAACTAACATGTAGCCATGGAATACAGTTATGAACTGCTTTCCAGAACAGAACACTTTCTTCATAAAGCCCAGTTCACCAATGAGATGATATAAAATATCATTTGGAAGCATTTTTCTCTAGCCATCTTGACAGGCATTTCCTAAAGATTTCTCTCACTGTCTTGGCAAGCATTTTACTTATTTTTGACTTATAGGTGAGGAATGATTCTTCAATGAGCCAAAAGAACTTTAATTTTTAGGATGAAACTGCATTAAAAAATATATAGGTTTAAATTGTTTCCTTTGTCTTTGGTTTTTCATCTTGGTGGGGAAAATGTTTCAGGTCCAGAAAATGGAGATGCTTAGAAGGTAATATTTGTCACCTGTGAGCCAATAACACTGCCTTATTTTTTTCTCAATTTCTAAGTGAAAATGATAAAACATACACTTGGAAACAAGGACTAACCAGAATTTAATCTTTTTCAGAAGCCAAGAAGAAAGCACGCTGTCCTGGACTGGGCTTGTTTTACACATTATTGTCTGCCTTCTTTTTCTCAGTGGGCTCTTTATTTGTTAAAAAAGTGCAAGATGTCCATGCTGTAGAAATTAGTGCATTCCGATGTGTGTTCCAGATGCTAGTCGTTATCCCTTGCTTAATATACAGAAAGTAAGTATTTCTTAAGTAGACTATATTAATAAATGTTTAAATCTTTTGACCTGCTCAAATCATTTACTCTGTAGTATCTCCTTTATCCCTCCTATAGATTTTACCAGTCCCTACACCTTTTGGCTCTGATTATTGAAAAGTCACAAGCATCCACCCAAAGAGGATGCTCATGAGCACGAAGCACGTGCCCCGACAAAGAGGGAGAAAGAGATTCAGTTATTCTCCACCCTTCATTTTGAGAACAAGCTTTCCTTGTATAATTCATTGTGTAAATGGGGGCATCTTGTGCTACCCTCCTTTCTTTGTTTTGGCATAACTAGTATTTGGAAGAAAAAAGTAAACAAGAGAAAGTGGTAGTGTCTCGTAGTGTCAAAGGTTTCATTAAGTAGAACAGGTCGCTCTGTTACCATGGCAGACAGAAGGCTACAGTAATAATATTTAGGTCTTCCCTCTAGGGTTCTTTGGGAAAGGGGAAAGGTAGTCTGGAGGAGGGCCTTTTTAACTACTTTCATGTTCAGTGTCCTCATCTGTAAACTGGAGGGAATTATGTTCTTTGTCCTCTACCCTGCCTTATGGTGGCAAGGATCAAATGAAATGTTTTATAGATCAGAATGCTTTGTGTAGAATGTAACAGTATATGAAAACTATCTGTTCCCCATCCTTCCTGATCTCTCCCCACTCAGCCTCTCTTTCCTTTCCATATGGAACTCCCACATGCCCTCAGGTTAAAATTGTGCTTCCCCCACACCATTTTAAATTGTACACACAGAACCCTGGGAGGAGAGACCATTTGGGTTCCTGACGGCTGCCTGGTATCTCCTCTCTTTGGGCAAAGATGCTTAAACCCCAAATTAAAAGCTTCAGTCACTCGCCACCAAAGTATCCATAACACGGTGCAGATTCACTTAGACTAGTTTCACTCCTTATCCTGAGGATGCGGTGAAAAAGGTGAAAATCTGCTAAGATTAATATTATCAGAAATTCCTGTGTAAGTGTGGTCAAGACACAGTATTATAGGAAATTACGTAAGACTTTCCAAGGATGGCAACAAACCACTGATGCTAATAAAATCCTCTTCCCCATTTTGGAATAAAAGTATTGATGGGGAAGGCACTAGAAGAATTTTTGTAAATCCTTGGCACTAATCTGTTTTGACCCATTTTATATTTCACTCTCAGGGAAGACTCTGCTTCTTAAAGTGTGGATCAAAGATGACCACACTTTCATTTCTCACTCCGGGGACCCTGGGTCCCCATGTCAGGCCTAGATGCTTTCCTAAAGATGTCCAGCCTGGCACAAATCAGTGAGCTTCACCTAGCCAAAAACTTACATAATACTCTGCCTAGAAAATATTTAATTAAAAAAACTTTGAATAGCAGTTGTTATACTTATCCGAATTCTACAGCTTCTTTTTCAGTGTGTTTTAACTCTTTTCTTAATGAGAACAGTGAAAAGTTGTCTCATATTCAGTGGGTAAAACAAATTTTATCATTGCCTCAGCTTTTATAGAAAAATTGATAAGATTGGGAATGTACACTATCCAGGACCAAGTTTTTTTTATACGGGGCACCTAAATCTTGAAATTGTATTTATTATAAAAACAATACATTTTCGTATATATTTTGTAGAAAATTTGGGAAAAATAAATTTAAAGAAGGAAAAGTACCTACGACTAGAATAAGATATAACCACAACGAATATTTTAGTATATTTTCCTTTTTGTCTTTTTTGCTCATATATATATAAAATTATAAAAGCATATATATAAAATCTATATTTACTGAATTATAATTATACTATTTCTGTAATCCTCTTGTATTTTTTTTTTGCTTATACTGTGAAGTCTTTAATGTCAGCCAAACTTAGAAAACATTTTTAAAGATGTATAATGGTTTTAATTATTATATTATAAAATAGAATTAATTTGCTATTACCTTATTTTTCGATAGTTAGGACTTCTAAAATGATATTTAACTAAAACTTCTAATTTAAAAACAAATACTAAGTTTGCTTAATATGCATTCCTTCATTTGAATTTACAGAACTGGGTTTATAGGCCCAAAAGGTCAACGAATCTTCCTCTTTCTCAGAGGACTCCTCGGTTCTACCGCCATGATCCTTTTATACTACGCTTTCCAGACAACATCCCTCGCTGATGCCACAGTAATCTCGTTTAGCTGTCCAGTGTTTACAGCTATACTTGCTTGGATATTTCTCAAGGAAAAATATAGCCTTTGGGATGCTCTCTTCACCTCATTCGCCATCATTGGAGTGATCCTAATTGTGAGGCCGCCGTTTTTGTTTGGTTCCAACACTGCCGAGATGGTTGAAAGCTATTCAGATCACGTGAAGGGCTCCATGGCATCTGTTGCACATGCCCTGTTTGCTGCCTTCACTTTAATTATCCTCAGAAAAATGGGGAAATCTGTGGAATACTTTTTGAGCATTTGGTATTATGTAGTTCTCGGCCTTGTGGAATGCGTCACCATCCTCTTTATAACAGGAGATTGGCGTCTGCCATACTGTGGGTTGGACAGGCTCTTTCTCATCCTAATTGGGCTATTTGGTCTGGCGGGTCAGGTGTTTCTCACCAAAGCCCTTCAAATAGAAAAGGCAGGGCCAGTAGCAATAGTGAAGACTATGGATGTGGTTTTTGCTTTTGTCTTTCAGATTATTTTCCTTAATGATGTACCAACATGGTGGACAGTGGGTGGTGCGCTCTGCGTAGTAGCCAGTAGTAGTGGAGCAACCATTCATAAATGGTGTCAGAATTCCAAATGAAGCATCATTGTGGAAATGTGTATATATTTTTTTTCAAGTATACCGTCACCCGGTTCAGACACACAACACATTCACACACCCGGAAAATCTGCATTTACTTTACTGATTATATTTAATAAATTTCATAACTAAAGTACCATTTTTGAATAAAGTTATGTCTTTAATTAGTGAAGCATAGCCAGTCGGTTTGGTATAGCAATTATTTTTTTTGATTTTGGTTTATTTTTTTGTTGGGTGGCATTTGTAAGAGGATAGCTCATTAGTTGAAGAAACACTACAAAAAAATTTATGACTCTAGTATAAATATATGTAATTTTTCAAAGTGTACTTTTGGTACTGATGGAATATTGGTAGGGAGGAAATTTTAGATGCTCTTAAAGCAGTGGAGAGGCTAAGAAACTTACTGATAATAATGATGCTACGATTAGTATTATATTGAAAATTCATTTGAAATGTAATTCCACTTAGGAGGCCAAAGCTGAAACTTAGAATAGGTGCCTTCTTAATGGTGTTAATAATACAAATGGATTAGCCTTATTTTCAAGGCTTTTATAAATGATTATCATTCTTTTAACCCATATTTGTGCCTTTTTATTTTAATACCAGAATTTTTATATGTCAACTTTTTAAAAAGTCTTTAAATCACCAAATTTGACTAATAGTTTCTCTTTCAGTGGCATTGGCAGCTGCAACTATCACTATAATTTTAAAGGTCCTCTGGTTTTTTTTTGTTGTTTTTTTTTGAAACTACTAGATTTTTTAAAACTTTCTAAGATTTCAGGCCTTTAAATTGCAAGAGAAAAATCTTGGCATGGCCAGTGTGCACATTTCCATCCTTAAGAGTTTTCCCCTTACTAGAAATGTGATTTTCTAGAAATTCCCTTTGAATCTATAGTGTGATACCAAATAAAATTTTCTCAGGATTTTATTAGGTGGAACCATATGTAATTGCTGAGATTTTACTTTTTTAACTTACAAAAACCATAGTTTCTTATGGTTCACCCTGATAGACACCTCCCTTACCCTCCAAACCAAATACCTAGAGGACTTTGGAATATATATTTGTAAAACAACTTTTTAAAGTACAGTAATCCTCTTAAACTTATTTTTATAGTCTTTTTTCCCTTATGGAATTATATGTAATAATGTTTCATGTTATATGTTTAATATAAAGACGTAAATTCCAATGGTTGATTGATTTTTGTAGTTTTCTGGAATGGAAGAAAAAATCACTGTTAAATTCTAGTATATCAGTATGGTATTAAATGTCAGTGCTGTATCTTGATACTAACATCGTGAATTCAAACAACAGATTTTATATCTGGAACTTCATCAGGCCAATACTCTGCAGTTAAAGTGAGAATTGAATATTTAGGAACACTTGGGAGGTTAATCTGGAAGTGGGGAGTACATGCAAATGACTCTTTGTCACAATGAACCCTTTGTTGGTGAGGCTATAATGGTCTCCAACTTTTACTTTGTCAGACCTAGCATATTATTATCTTAAGTCTGCAAATTTAAAATATTATAGGCTCTTCCCCACCCTTTCCTCACAGTTCTTCTCAAGTAAGAAGGAACTCGGCTTCTGAGGCTATGCCTTAGTGAGAAAGGATCTTCTCCAGTAGATCCAAGAGGGAATTTTTGGCTTACTGGTCTTCTCAAATGCTTCCCACCTGACAAATCCTAAATGAAGTCGATTTAGGGGAGTTAACACAATCATAACTTGGGCTTAATCCACAATATTGGAGTTTAGAGTTGCAGAAGCATCATTTTGCAATTATCTAAGATAATTATCGAGTCAGCATTTTGGAGCTCAAGGGTTAGAAACCTTCATATAAGAGCCACACTACATAAATAAGGGTGCTGGGGAGGGGATCTGCCCAAGATGGGTTTCCGTGGCCTTCTCCCCTCCCTTAGTTCCATGATAAAGTATGGAAAGTAAACCACTGCTTGACCTACCTAAGGTAAATTAACTCTCAGGGAATTCACTCCTGGTTCTTTACTTTGCACAATAAAAGGATCTATGGGACCTTGAAAGTTAAATCCCTTTGGGCCTGTACACTAGAGAAGTTTTATTTCAACAGTGCGGATTAAGTACTTGAATGTCACAATATATGACCAAGGTTGGAGAAAATATTTCTTTCAACTTTTACAGGGTGTGATTCTTAAACACTTTTATAATGTCCAAGGTATATACAGGGGTATGCATTGTGGGTGTGTATATTTTATAAAGATTTTAGTTTCTCTATCTTGAAAAAGAAAGTATTTTCAGATTGTTTTTGTTTTATAAGTACTAAATAAAAATTAATAAAATTAATATAAAAGTTATATTTTGATTTTTATAATAGAAAATGTGCTAGCTAATATAACCTATTTCCTTTTTCATCCATGTGATTCAAAATTTATTTTATAAAGGAGATTGACCTCTAGCTTTTCAGCTGTGATGTAATCTCAAGTTTCAAAGTATTTGTCTGTCTCTCTGATACTGTCATAACAATTCTAATATCTCTACAATAAAGGTTTCAATCTTCTGTTCCAGTGAAGACTTTATTGTTCTAGACTCCCAGAGCTTGGAGCAGCTTTAAACTCTACTTTTTGTTCTCATACTTAATTTGTTACTAAGTCCTGGATTATCTGTTTATTGTCTGTGGATTCATTCTTGGCCATTTCCATTCTCACCAACTTAGTACAAGACTTAACACCTCACAACCGAATTACCACATTCATATCTAATTGGGTTACTGATTTCTACTCCAACCTTGTCCCACTGCCATAATTTCTTAAAGCCCTGCTTTCATTGTTACTCCGGTTCTCATGAAACCACAGTGATGCGTCATCACACACCACATCACATCCAGATGATTTATCTGGCCCTTTTCTAACCTGATTTCCCATGTCCCTACACAAATTTGGTACTTGGATGAATCTTCCCACCAACACCCACATTTGCCAACAGATTCCTTCCTCTGTGTTTCTCCTGATTTCTTCTCTTTGCCCTCTAAGGCCTCAGCCTCCAATGGCTAAGCTTGAGCTTTTGTTTCTTCCCCTATCCAGCTTCTCCCACCCATACTAGCCCACCTTGGAAAAGTGGATAGAGCACTAGATTAGGAGTCTGAAGATCTGAGTGTGGTTTTATCAATCCCACTGGGCAAGTCACATAATGTCCCTGAGCCTATTTTCCTCATTTGCTTCATGTGTTAAATCGAGTAATATTACTCACCCAAACCATATTACAAATGAGTGCCATAGAAAAGACTTGCAGACCACAGAGGACAGAAACAGTAATGAACTGTCCTCTTCAAAATGATACCTACCCCCAGGGTCCTTACTCCTGAGTAGTCTTACCATGAACTGTAAGACCAGTCCTCTGGATTACAAACCTCATCTGGTTCCCTCCTGCTAGCACAGAATTCCACTGTTGGGCAACTCACATTTCCTGGCTGATCTGCCCATGCAGGGCTGCCAAAGGTCACCAGCCTTTTTATCTTACGCATAGATGTTGCCACCTTTCCAGTTTTGGCTTTAGCTCTGGTCCTCTGTATTACACGTGGCTCTGGATAGGGGCACGAGTCTGATTCCCATGTGTTTCTCATGCACTAGCCTCTATATCCAACATAGCTCTTCTAACCTCTTACCTGTTCATCCAATAAACATAATTAGTCTCTCGAAGGTGATCTAGTGGGAAGAGAGCCAGATGTCCTGGATAACATGCTGGCCTCTAATCTAGGTATATGGTGTCATGGTCAGTACTGGGCATTAGAAATTGGTTATTCTAAGCTGGGCTTGTGAAACCTGGGCACCGCCCCACCTCCACTAAGCACACTGTAATATGGCTCCTCGGGTCATTACATCAAATCTAATACAGCTACTATATCCACTTAGAATTCTGCAAGATACCTATCAGGGATTCTGTGATTGCAAAGAAAGACCCATCCAAGTTTTAGCCTATTTGAACACTAAGTTTGGAGCTGGACTTGGAAAATCAGTTCACAGAAAGCCCATGAACTTTGGCAAATCAGTTCACAGAAAGCCCATGAACTTTGAACTCCCTGTCATCTGGAAATTGGAGATGGGGCTTTACAACAGTAAGGTAAAGAGCAGAGATATCTCTTATCAAGACAGGGCAGGAAGTGGTGTAGCACAGAAGTCCACTTCACAGGAAAACGTTCCACTGGGTTCCTCAAGGTACCATGCCAGCTATCATCTATTACGCCAGATTTGCAACAATATAAAACAATATTATTCTCACTTTTAAGTAGTTATTTTTTTCATAAAAATATTATTTATGTTAACAAAATGGAATCACTTTTAATAATTTTTTTCAGTTTTGCTTTCAAATATGGTAAATATCTATCTATATAGCTGCCTCCTTAGCTGGGGTAGAATGTAGGACAGGGAATCACTCCGTCACAAGTGACTTTGGGATTTGGAAGTATGTATGCCCTCCTCCTATCTCCTTCCCCTTCACGTAGATAGATATGACCTATCTACGGCTATATAGATAGATGTAGCCCACATAAACAGAAGTTATTTGGAGTTCTCAGTGATGCTTAAGAAAGTAAAGAAGTAGAAATGAAAAAGTTCTAGGACTGTAGATTTAATAGAGGTATAAAATTTGAAACCTTAAAAAGAACAAAGATTAAACCCATCATTAAATCTACTGACTTGTTCATGAGGTTATGACAATCTGAAATGCAACTAAATAACTAAATTGGAGGCATCTTTAATTGTGTGTTCCATTTTAGAATTGAAAAGTTAAGGAACTATATGAGATATGAGATATCCAAGAGAAAAGGAACAAGCAATCCACTTGGCCCATGGTCACAGAGTCAGATCAAATTGTCTCTGTTACTTCCTTTATAAGTGCTTTGGTTCCTTTGTATGTGCTTTCAGAAGTGTCTCATGCTCTGTAATCACCTCTGAAGATGAGTATGTGCGTTAGTACAACTTTTGTGAGAGGTTATTTGGTAACATCTATCAATTTACAAATGCACATACTTTTTTACCCAGAAATTCCATTTTTGGGTAAAATTTTTGGGTAAGGAATTTATCTTACACTTGCTTATTGCAAAATGATATGTACAAGATTAGTCTTTATAGCATTACTTATAATAGCAAAAAATTAGAACTAGCCTGAATGTTCCTTAATAGGGTGCTGGTTAAATAAGTAATGGTACATACATAAAATGCAATTAAAAACAAATTAAGGAAAACTAACAGAAAATGTCAACTGTAATTGAAAAATTAAAAAATTAATAAAAAATAAAATGAAGAGCAAGGGAGCTTTTCATGTAAGAGTATGAAGTAATCTTCAAGATTGTTTAGTGATAAAAGCAAGATTCAGAGAATAATATAGTACATTTTGTGATCATTTGCATAAAAAGGGGGTAAACAATATTCTAGGAAGATACAGAGGAAACTGTTAACATTGGTCGCCTGTAGGGAGAAGTGTTTGGCAGCTGAAGAAGTTTTCACTGAATCCTCTTTTATACCTTTTGAATTTTGAACCACGTGGATACATAACCTAGTCAAAAAATAAAATAAAAAACTGGTGGAACCAAAACGAGATCACTTGATAGAAAGGAAAGGATAAAAGAAAGGAGGAGTAAAAGAGAGAGAGAGAGAGAGAAATACATACATATATGTGCATGAATACACAGAGAAATGTTTACTGCTTTAATCTGAGCTATCACCCTGGTGCACTGTCACTATCTTCTTTTTGCTTTCTTCCCTTTGTTCTCCTCACCCAGTCTACAAATTAGACTTAAATTTCCACATGCTCCAACTTGGAAGAAAATACAAAAGGGAAAACTGAATTTCAGTTTTAAGTAGAAATGTATCCTCCAAAATCACAGAAATCATTGTCCAGCCCTGAGCCAATATCTGCCTTTCCACAGCACCAAAACCACTTTTACTTGGAAAGGAAACTATCATTTATTTAATATGTCCCATTCAGGCCAGGAGCTTCTTGATCGTTGTCTTATTCAATCCTCGCCAACTCTAGGAGATTGGTCAATTGCAAAGGTGAAATTCAAGAGAGATCAAATAGTAAATTCCAGTACCCTCACTAGTAAATGATGAAGCTGAACCACTGCCCTTGGTCTGCCTGACCTCAAAGACCTTGACCTTTCCAAAACTCACATCACCTCCTTAGCTGGGGTAGAATGTAGGACAGGGAATCACTCCGTCACAAGAGACTTTGGGATTTGGAAGTATGTATGCCCTCCTCCTATCTCCTTCCCCTTCATGTAGGAAAGCTGGATGTGAAAGAATAGAAGG